CAGTAAGAAAATTTGAGTAAGAAAAGCAGCTGTTCTCTATGACGTTTTTATTGCAGCTCCAGTAATAACTCGTCAACAACCAAACAACAAGCCGAGGCCAATGCACGCAGGATATAGTGTCAGCGAACAGTTGCTCAATCCTATTTTCACAACTCTTCCACCGCAAGTGCTGTCAGTGCGGAGGTAATTACTGAAGGAAATCCCCCGAGTACACTTCATCACTGGCTTGAAAATAACTAGATAATGTGTCCAATCTATTAAAAAAATATGAAATTCTATAGTCCATGTTGGATCCATAGACCAGGATGTGACTTTTAGATAGACATGTGTGTGCATTCTTGAAAGTCATTTTTGGCATACTACGTCTCCTTTAACGGTGGACGCAGCGCGGTTAGAGCTTGTGTTTTCGCAGCAAGGAGGTCCTGGGTTTTATTCCACCTCCAGGCCTTTCTGTGTGGAGTTTGCATGTTTTCCCTGTATCAATGTAGGTTTCCTCCGGGTGCTCCAGTTTCCCCTACCACTAAAAACCACGTGCAATAGGTGTGAATGTAACGAGTGAGTGGATGGATGGTGTTGATTGGGGACTATGATGTGCCAGTGTGTTTGGCGTCTTCCTTCTGTCATCACCATGTGGAGAGAATGGAAAAATATCTCTGAACATTATCAAGCGCTTTGGGTGACCTTAGTCTGTAAAATGCGCTATATAAATAAAAACATGACATACTTACTAATTCTGGGGAAACAAACTTTTTTTCTTTCATAGCTAATACTTGTGAACTAGTGAACAGGTCACAACATCCTGCCTCTTCTATTTTTGCACACGAGAAAGGTTTGACTCTTTGGGCTGAGAGCTGATTGGCTGAGTGAGGGTGATTCTATTTTTAACTTTTCTGTCTGAAAAATCTGATCAAAAGACAAAAAAAAAGGCCAGTAATGAAACCAGGCTGTTTTGATATTGAAGAACTACTGTATGTAGAAAGACTGTACTACATGAAGATGTTGTGGCTGGAAAGTTAGGTGCCTCAGCTTTAAAACATTGGGGAAAAAGGAGAATTGGAGAGGAGAAGCAGAGTGAAGTAGAGAAAGCTCTCCCGTGGGATGGTATTTACTGATAAGATGAGTGTATACAGTACATAGAGCAATAAAAACAATATAAGAACATTTCTGATAATTTGAAAGTAAGTCAATTGTACTGTATATTTTAGACATCCCTAAAGCGTGATCAACACTGTTTCCATTATTCAGAATGTGTAGGAGTCAAAGAAAACTCTATAGATGCAAATCACCAAAATGCAAATATAGACTAGGGGAAAATTCTATTCCGCTTCTAATTCTCACATCAAATTCTTTCGCACTAAAGAGGATGATTTCTTATATACCACTCACTACCAGTCGCATCCATGAGTAATATAATAATACTAATAATGTTGTCTGATTTATATAGCAATTTTTTGGATACTCTGAGACACTTCACATTGGCAAGGCAAGGCAAGTTTATTTATATAGCACAATTCATACACAAGGCAATTCAAAGTGCTGAACAAAACAAGAAAGCATTAAAATCATAAATTATCACAGAACATTAAAAAGAAAGATAAAAATATAAAATCCCTCAGTTGTATGCACAGTTAAACAGAACTGTCTTTAACCTGGTTTTAAACATTGTCAGAGAGGAGGCCTGTCTCACATTGCCCACTGACAGAAGTGAGGCAACCAGTACGTGCCCTCCAGCCCCTCCGGCCCCACCCACCATTCACACGCACACCAAACTCATACTGGGCGTGAGTGACGTGTCTTGCCCTAGGACACGACAGTTTTGCACATTACAGTAACTGCTGCCAGACTGGGACATCTGGGGTTTCCAGAGGTCTCCCATCACAGTACTCACCAGACCATGCCCTGCTTAGCTTCAGAGATTTGGCTTTCACGTGCAGGTGGTGTCACAAGTGTTCTCTCATTGAAAACACTTATTATAGTGGAGTCATTTTGAAAGCAGAAAAAATATGGGCTGTGGTCTTGTTTATTTGGATCATATTTTGTTTTTTTTGACCCATTTCCATGTTTTGTCCATTTATGTCATATAATTAGTGATTTACAATCTTAAAAAGTGTCCCTGTTAGGCTACGGATTTAGTGAAAATATAGACACAAAATTAGAGCTGTTACAAGTTACTCAATTTATCGCAATTAATCAAATATTTAACTATTTTTAACAAACTTCTCCAGGGGCATCACTTGATCTTTGTTTTGGTCAAATGTGTAAATAATCAAATTTTTGCTAAGCTTTCAGAATCTAAACAACCGCAAGAATAATCTGCCAACCAAACGATTATCAAAATAAAAGTTAATTACAACCCTATGCATCATCTTGCCTTGCTTTCCCTAGTTTATGATTTTACTTCCTGGTTGGACATACAGAGGATAGAGGTAGTTACCATAGCAACTATAAAGAGGGCTGAAGGTTGACAAATTATTTTCCACAATAGGTATGCGGGGAAAAAAAATCATCAAACTGTAAATGAACGAAACTAATATTTAAACTGCCTTTCTAAATTGCCAACGCCGTGCACCGCGTTTCAAACTGTGGTCCGGCGGCGAGAGCGATGATGCCATTGCCGATTGATCCTTAGTTTCAAAGGGCCGAGCCTCATCTGAGACCCGGGTCCTGGGAGCTGACCTTTGGGCTGGGGTCGGCTTTTAACCACTCCAAGTAATGCTTCAAAAAGCTCTTACGTGCATGCTCATATTTGAAAAGGTGCTGGGAACCTGGGGCGAGGTTTGTCCAATGGGGGGGGTTGGAAAAATGGGTCAAGCTGGTTCTAAGGCCCTGCAGAAAAGCCAGAAGCTAAAGTGCAAGTCCAGTTTTATGGTTTTATTTAATGCCAGGACGCCCAGAAAGTCCAAGAGCCGTCCTTTCGAATTCTCCCACATTCAAACCAATCAGATTCTGAGAGATTCCCACAAAATGCGTTTAAGTTTTTCACCAGATTTATTAAAAGTCATTTTAAAGTACTATTATCTTACTTGGTCTCCTCATAACCTTTGTTACCTTTTTGAGACGCATTTGGGGCATTTCACTTGGTTTTACGCACTTTTTTTTTTTTATCTCAACCATTTGTAAAGGTCCAAAAAAAATAGGGATAAAAAACAACTTCAAAAATGAATTATTTGTGTTATTAGTGCTCGTACAAAAACGACATTGCTTTATTCAAGGAGTGAACATTTAAGAGTTAAAGTTAAGTCGCTCATAAGGGGTTTTACCTTTACTCACTTTGACTAAGTGCTAAAACTGGTGAATATAACTTGAAATACAGAAAAATAAAATTAGCCAACTGCTGCAAATAAACAGTGTGTTGCTATGGTAACTAACATTTAACACCAGCATCATGAAAGAGGGGGTAGAAATATGATTACCAGCAACCAGAAGTGGTATTTGAATGATAATTTTGTAAAACTAACAAATAAATACAGAAAAGTCACAAAGTTAGGAGGGTACAAAAAGCTGAAAAAAGTTTTTAAGTAATGCGTTCTAAAATGTATCACCACATCCTCCACTAACCCTAACCCGAACATCATCCAATTTAAAGACACAGAACACAAAAGAAAGGCATTCATCTGCTTGTTAAAACATTAAAAGAATAAAAGGTACCGTCTCATTATTCTAAATGTCATTCCATAACCTTTGTCACGTCTTCAGCCCATATTCAACCAGGAAGTAAAATGAAAAACTTTACCATATTTTCAAATACAGTATATCCCTCTAAACTGTGTTATAAGTAGTATAAAGAGGTCAGGGCCAAGGGAATCAAATTACGGAGAGAAAACTTAATTTTCAGGGCTATGGTAAATGTCGATGTTTGATATATGATAGGTCTTTAAGTCTAGTGTTTCCCAACCTGTGGCGCGGGGACCCAGGGGGAAACTAAGCAGGGGGTACATGGAACTAATTCAGAGCTAAAATCAAGACACTACTTTGATGGTAAAGGGTATTTAAATCATAGTTTGATGTCATTGTTGCAGCTGCCGAACAATACTGTATATTAATTGGGTTAGGGGAGGGTCCTTGGGAGGAATGAGGTGGGGATACTCTTCATCGAACAAAATTCAGATCAATTTAATTTCAAATCAATATTAATTTTATAGCTCTAAATCACAACAGCAGTCATGTCGGAGGACTATACAAAGTTGTCGATTCGCCAAACGACAGATCCAAAAGTCAAACATTACACAGGAAATGGAATAATAACAAACACATTGGAGCCATTGGTCCAGAGGGAGCGGGATGACCAAATAATGATAAATGTCCTAAAACGTCTTCTTTAAAACATCACAGCAAAGCTTCAGCTGTCTATAGTGACTGGTGGAGAACTCTCAACCAGAAAAGTTACACATGGTAACTTGAACCAGCACAAAAGCTTAACAGTGAAGTCATCAAAACAGACATAATCGGGCCGAATCCAGATCAAAACAACTGAATCAACAGGCAAATACGATCAGAGCTACATCAGAAAAACAAAAACTACGGTGCAAATGTGTATAATATTGTGGGAAAATCGCCATCGGTCATAAAGGCAGGCATTCATGTATACACAAAGTGACTACAAAGCTCCAGCCAAAGCTTCCATCTTCTAACGAACACTTTCTGGATGTCATTTTATGTGCTCCCCATTGTAATCGCTGTGTGTATGGCTCCCGCTCCATTTGTGTAACCAGGCAACAACTATTTGAAAGCTTGTCTCTTCTTCAATCAGCATAAGTCTAAGAGCTCTCCAGACAACTTGATGAAGCCAGTGATCTCTCCCCCGACTGATCAGACTTCAGTCCCATTAGTAAAAGATGTACTTTTATCACAAATGCAAAAATCAATACACGTTATAGCAGCTGATGGACATTACTGTTAAAAAAGAGCCTTAAGGCAAATTTACTTTAATAATCAGACTCAAGACATACCAGACAAAGCATTGCAAGCAGACCATCAAACATAGATCTACATGGACTTACCAAAGGACTGGAGACAGGCCTGGATGATCTCGTCCCAGCTGCCTCCCTTTGTGAGGTGACCCAGAGGCATGTTGGGTTTGCTGGGCGCGTTCTGAGCCGGACTGTGCCTGTGGAAGCGGTGAGTTCTTCCAGGGGGAGAAACTCTAGTCTTGGACCCGCATCCTGGAGCCACTTTCCTAGAGACACAACAACACAAAAGACCAGAGTGAAGAGAAGCAATGGCTGTACAATGGTTGTCCAGCTTATTCTAAAAATACTATGTTTTAGTTTATAAAATTGATAAGCTACGCTGCGTGTACATAGGTTTGTCTTCTCTATTGTGGAAACTGGAGACCACCCCTCACTGGTATTTGGCTATTCATTGTTCTGGTTTCCTTCCTTCAATTTAGGGAAATACCAGTTGATTGCGGACTTCCAGTTCAAAGTGTTGAATGGCGAGAAAACAAGAGCCCTTACAACCTGTTGCTCTATATGTCTTCCACAGTCTTCCATTCTTGTAAGGACAGCACCAAACTATATCACTGCTGTAAACTTTAAAAAATGCCCACACAGCACAAGAGCGCGCAAAAACTAAAACTCTGGCACTTACGCGTCATCCTTGCCCTCAGTCGCGGTGGTGGTGTTGTGGTTGGGGCCGTTCTCCTTGGTCTGACATCCCATGGCGAGGTACTGGGCCACGAGCGGCTGCACCAGGCTGTCCATCTGCGTCCTTTTGCCTGGGAGCATTTCATCGCTGAGTGCGCTGCCGCCGGTGCGCTCTCTGCTGCATTGTGCCGAGTGTGGAGCGCGCGTTACACAATTTACACTCTGGGCACAGTGCGGGTGCGTGTGAGGGTGCGTGTGCGTGTGAGAGCGTGAGGCAGTGGGCGGCAGAGGTGCACGACTCGCCAAAGCTGTGCAAAGTGTTTTTTCTTGGGGTTTTTTCTAAGTCTCCAACAGCTGCCCGTGCAATTCTAATAAAATATTTTCATTTCAAGATTTAATGGTTATCAACTTATCAAATATAATGATATCTGCCCTTCTTTAAAATACTTCAATGAATTGTTTTGCAGTTATTTCAGACAATATTAAGCAACATTTGAGTGAAGGTGCACAAGAAGGTGGATTATTCCTGTGCGACATTAGCTCAGGATACATAACAGGAAAAGGGCGCACCTTCCTCTGGATAACAGCCTGTATGGCCTCACACTGGTCAGGAGCAGTTGCAGTGGAAGCTTCATATGTCAAAGATACTGCCGCTTCAAGGGCTCAAAGACAAAGCCACTATTAAATGGGCAGCCTATATACGCATAACTTTAATATGACAATAAAAAGGACAACAACAAACATGCAATGCAGTGTAAATGTAAAAGATCATTAGGACAAAGAGTAAACAATTGGGCACGCCACAAAGCTCAACAGTCTTACTTCAGAATACAATGCTGCCCTCTTGTGGTTAATGTCTGTCACGTCTATTCTCATAGAGGGTCGTCTAATTCAGTGTTACCATACAGTCCCCACCTTTTTGAGGCGTGGCAAACTTTTTCATTGAAGACTGATACAAACATGAATCTCTGCAGACTTTAGGAACAATACAAAGTCATTCTTGTGTTTAATATAAAAAATCAAACGTAGTGTCTTTCCATGTTATTACGACCAAAAATGTGACAATGGATCATTTCCAAAGACACACCAACCAACATCTCAACATATACTTACATTGGTCTAATTTTCTGTAAAATGAAAATCTGTTTGATTTGGACATTATCCTGAGCTGAGGAGAATTCTCACAGCTGATGAAGTCCAATTCTTGCATTGGGCACGGCAGACATGTGCAAACGCCTGCCACACAATTGCGGGCCTTTGTGTCATTGAACGTGGCCCTCTGCCCTTTGCCTTGCTCACTCAGTGCAGTTTTTGAGATCAGACCAGATCACAGTGTCATTCCATCAACTTCAACTTGACAAATTTCATTCTATCTCTACTAAACTCTAGAAAGTATTTGAACATAGTTATTTGAGTCACAAAATGATGAGGATACCATTAATGTAGCTGGTGAACATTTGTCATTCAACTTCAACTCTGTCAAAATATGAAAATGCCGTATGTCTCATGAACAAAAAGGGGCAAAGAGAGGACTATCCAGAATCAGCCAAGCTTTCAGACCAAAACCTCAAACGGTGACTTTCAAGAAGGCCTAATATAACATGATTAGATTTCTAGATATGACCGCATGTTGTGGTCTTTTTTGTTCACAGTATTTTACTTCTGCAGCCTGAGCCATGCATCTTTAAATGTGATAAAACTAATAGGTACCCCGACTTAGATTTCCAGGATATTAGTGAGAAAATAATCATTGAGTAACAAAAAAAACGTTAAAAGAAGACGTTTCTCAGTAAGACTATAGGCAAGGCAGGTTTTTGTACAGCCCTATTCATAGACACACTCAAAGTGCGGAACCAAACAAGATAGAAACAGTCACACAAGGCCTTATAATCATAAATAATCACAGTATACGTTCAAAATATATAAAATCCCTCAGATGTATTATGTATGCACAGCTAAGACCTTATTTTTAACCTGGATTCAAACATTGTCTGAGAAGAGGCGTGTCTCACATTTTCAGGAAGATTGTTCCAGATTTTAGCTGCTTGAATCTCATGTTTAATTATGAACATATTCTGACTCTGGGTACCAGCAGAAGGCCAGTCCCTCTGCTCCTCAGAGTCCCAGCAGGAGGCCAGTCCCTCTGCTCCTCAGAGTCCCAGCAGGAGGCCAGTCCCTTTGCTCCTCAGAGTCCCAGGAGAAGGCCAGTCCTAGTGCTCCTCAGAGTCCCAGCAGGAGGCCAGTCCCAGTGCTCCTCAAAGTCCCAGCAGGAGGCCAGTCCCTGTGTTCCTCAGAGTCCCAGCAGGAGCCCAGTCCCAGTGCTCCTCAGAGTCCCAGCAGGAGCCCAGTCCCAGTGCTCCTCAGAGTCCCAGCAGGAGCCCAGTCCCAGTGCTCCTCGTAGTCCCAGCAGGAGGCCAGTCCCTGTGCTCCTCAGAGTCCCAGCAAGAGCCCAGTCCCAGTGCTCCTCAGAGTCCCAGCAGGCCAGTCCCAGTGCTCCTCAGAGTCCCAGCAAGAGCCCAGTCCCAGTGCTCCTCAGAGTCCCAGCAGGAGGCCAGTCCCAGTGCTCCTCAGAGTCCCAGCAGGAGGCCAGTCCCAGTGCTCCTCAGAGTCCCAGCAGGAGGCCAGTCCCAGTGCTCCTCAGAGTCCCAGCAGGAGGCCAGTCCCTTTGCTCCTCAGAGTCCCAGCAGGAGGCCAGTCCCTTTGCTCCTCAGAGTCCCAGCAGGAGCCCAGTCCCAGTGCTCCTCAGAGTCCCAGCAGGAGGCCAGTCCCAGTGCTCCTCAGAGTCCCAGCAGGAGGCCAGTCCCTTTGCTCCTCAGAGTCCCAGCAGGAGGCCAGTCCCAGTGCTCCTCAGAGTCCCAGCAGGAGGCCAGTCCCAGTGCTCCTCAGAGTCCCAGCAGGAGGCCAGTCCCAGTGCTCCTCAGAGTCCCAGCAGGAGGCCAGTCCCAGTGCTCCTCAGAGTCCCAGCAGGAGGCCAGTCCCTGTGCTCGTCAGAGTCCCAGGAGAAGGCCAGTCCCTGTGCTCCTCAGAGTCCCAAGAGAAGGCCAGTCCCAGTGCTCCTCAGAGTCTGGTTCATATGGCACTAACATTATGTACTTTGGTGCGAGGCCAATGGTGAGACTTGTACACACGCAGAGCTGTTATTAATTCTACTCTATTCTCTGAGCCACAGGAAGCCAGACGGAAGTAGCAGTAAATAGTAAACAAGCCCCGGCGATTCAAGATGGCGCCCTATTCAAATGAATGGTTGTGCTCAGTGGCGCTTTGTGACGGCATGGGGGCTGAAAAGATTAGCGGAAGTTGCCTGAAACTCGCAAAGAACTTTGGGAAACTCGCCTGTATTTGGGCATCGTCTGGTCCTCCCGGTTCTGCGCAGTGGATGATCTCCCATAATGCGTTGCGTCAAACACGCGTGTGTGGGTCTCACACCAGGTCTCACGCACGTGCACAGAGGGGCTCGGCCGCGCTCTGACCAATCAGAGCAGTTCATCAGAGCGGGAGTTAGAGCGAGAGCCAGACGAGCAGAGTTTGTGGCACTAAAGTGTGGATTTAAACAAAACCGAAGGATTTAAGAAGAAAAAAAGTTCAGGATGACAAGGGACACTAAAATCCCCACAAAATCCGATCTTTATGAAAGCTGTAGGTTCTCTTTCAGCTGAGGTCGAGCTGTTTTAATATGCATTGAGTCCTATGGGGAAAATTTCTGGGTAGCCCACGTGAATTTAGTCTGGTTCAGTCTGCAGTACCGCGAGAATCCCCTGAGCACATGAGTTATTCAGCTACAAGCTAATAATACCCTATCCAGTTAATATAATACATCCATGATAGTAAACGGAAGGACGAGCACGTGGGTTGATCCCAGGCCTGACCACGTGGCGGCGCTGTTGTTCATGTTGACACCGCTTCATCCTGAGCCACTGACCTAAAGTGTGGAAAACTTCAGGTGCTTTCTTTTTACACCTTTTCCTGCTCACGTTTGCGGTTTAACCAGGATTAAAAAGATGGTGGTAGATGACATTCAGTTTCTAAGTATTCTTAAAGGAAAACGCATTAAACTGACCTTGAAAAATGCGGCCTACCTCGGCATCGTCCACCGCATCAACTCCAACAAAACCATCGTTCTGGCCGACGGTGGGACGTGTTTGTACATTTATGACATGTTTGTACTTTTATAACTTTAAATAAGACCCAGTCGCATTTGTGGACTCATTGTGCTGTTTGTTTGCAGTTGTTGGAGCCGAGAATGGCTGCAAATATCCAGGGTCTAAAATGTTTTTCGGGCATGACATAATTAATGGTGAGTGTGTACATGACATATATAATTAACTAATTCACTTGCAAAAGCTTTGGCAAGTAATTGTTTGAAAAGCCAGATCTATTTTAGTGCCATACAATAAGTTTCATCTTCTTGGGCAAATTCTTTCATATCTACTGCCAATTACAAGACATTTTTGTTTTTGGAAATAAACGGTATCTATTCTGTCTTTGGATTGGATTTTTCATATTTATTTTTACCTCCATAATCATATCTGACTTATTTGACAGTGGAATTCACCAATGAAGAAGAAAAGGCCAATAAGTAAGTGACAATACTCCCCTGGTACTTTAGTGACTCGCTTCTCCACAGACCTGGATCGTACCATAGACTGTACTTGTTCTTGAGAGAGAGGGGGTGGTGGCCTCCTGCTAGTTTGCATGCAAACTTTGTTCCTTTGGCTGTAATGGGCCAAACAAGTTTATTTGTATAGCACATGCAGTATAGTTCTAACACAAGGATAACTCCAATTGCTTAACAATAATGTGATGATTGTAATGTCACATTCAAAGTACAGATGTAGCTTTGCTAAACCCTGGATTTTGAAACTCTCAGAGTAGAATCGTGTCTTACTTTTGTTCAAATTTGTTCCAACCTTTTTAGTTGCATAAATGTGAAATTCTGCCTCATGTTTAGTCCTGACTCTGGGCACCAGCAGGAGGCCAGTCCTTGTGCTTCTCAGAGTCAGATTTATAATCTTCCACAAAAGGTAAAATTCCTGTTTCCATGGAAACATGCAGAGGATGGTCCATCTTCAGAACGTTACATACTGTTGCTTTAAGTGTCTGTGATTGTGAATAAAAGAAATGCAGGACAGAAGATTCTTGAGGAACAGATGACGATAGAAAAGTTCCAGCCGTACAGGAGAGCTGTGGGGCTGGGTCAGCACAATATTCATATTTGATTCTAAATCCCTACAAGCATCTTGTGATCATAAACATGTCTTTACAGACGACGATGACGATGAAGAGGAGGGGGAATTCATCAACTTCATTGTTATTGATGAGTTTCATGAGAAGTTTGGTTCAGCTGTAGGTTTCTCATGAGGACATTTAATTAGATCAAAACAATCCATAAGTGATGTATCTCTTAGATCATGCACATCAAAAAGCAACAAGTGGTCGGAGTCGGAGTCGACGGAGTGGAAATATACAAACACGGGAGGCTGTGCTGGCTTCAGGTAAAATGCAGATCTTATTTACTGAAAACCTAAAGAAATAAGTAAACATCAATGTGGAATTCAGATTTCAACAAAACACAAGGTGTTCCTCTTTGATATCTTGCTGCTTGGTGCTCGTGCATTTAAAAATGGACTCTCCATGATCCTTCAGAGTAAACAGATCTTAAAGGTCAGTATTGAAAACATGATAAATATGTATGGTATATGGTAAACTATATGGTAATAATACTTCTGATGCTTTAACAGGTCATTCATGACTGCAGAGCTGTCACAGGATGTTTATCTTCTCAGTTTGGAGTCAATTTGACCAATGTTTTTGACACTCAGGTGAAAAGTTTACATGTTAAAAAAAAAAAAACTGCGCTGGATTTAAGTTAAAGATGATTGTTTCTCTGACGAAGGTCGCAGATGTGATGTGCTTCTACTCAGAGACTGGAGGTTTACTGCCAAACAGAGTGAGCACTCTGCAGGAGGTGATCAATCTACATCTGAAGGTTCCCTCTTCACAGCTTCTGTCTTTGCAAATGAAGTCTCAGCTCACACAGGTATGTCACTCCAGCCTAAGGTCTAAGTTTGCATGTTTCCATCTGTAAATGGTTCTTGAATGCGTGTGTGTAACAGGAGAAGGGGATATGGTACAAGCGGCCCTGCCCTCTGCCCCTGCTCAAGGTCATGGCTCTGTCTGTGGTCCACATGCAGCCTCTGCGCCTGGTGCTGCTGGACACACTCATGACAGACTACTTGTTCTTGGTGGATTCCTATCTCAAAAGTAGTCATTTCCAGCCTGATGAGCTGGAGCAGCTCACTATGGTATGTAGATGTATGAATCTGTTATTGCTGCTCTGTTCACCGTGGCACAGTAAGCTCATCCCCCGATTGTTTATTAGGAGAGTGTTTTGGAGCTGCCTAAGGAGCTCAGACAGCTGGAGCAAATGCGGTGTGATCGCCAGGAGTGGGCAGCTGAGCAGTTCCCAGTGACGGACCAAGGTCTGCTCCGTCGTTTTAACCCCAGATTGAAGAGAAGAGCTAACGAAGCGCTGCAGCAGACACAAGAGGCCTGTAAACCTGAGAGTGTGGAGGTGTCTCCTGCTCAGGACGCCCCTTCTCCAGCCTTTCCGTGGGCAGGCAGAGGACGAACAGACACAAACACTGACAAGTGTCCTCTTCCAGGCCGGCCTGGTGTCAGCCGAGGCTTGTTCCTCCACACAGCGCCTGCTGAGAGCCCTGGGAAAGCTGCCGTGGATTCTGCATCTGCTCAGAGTGAGAAGGGGCTGAAGTTGTCTCTTAGTCAGTCCTTCAGGTTGTTCAAGGATTAAAATAGTTCTCATTTATTGCATTACCTACTGCTTCTTTTAGTTCAAGTTCCTTTAGGTTAACCACTAGATGGCAGTAAATATTAAACACTGAGAATGTTTTGAGTCGATCTTCACATCATAACATTCAGTTTCTGGTTGAAGGTTTTTTTTTCATTAAGCCACTTATTTGTTTACAGGCATATTTAATTACGGCATTAAAACATTGAGTTTACTGCAGTTCAATCTTGTTTTTATTGAATTTTTAAAATAATTTATTGAAATGCAATACACGACACCATCATGTCCTGCTAATGAATCTTGATATATCAAAGTGTGGTAAAGACATGGCTGCGACTGGCAGAAGACAAACTGCACTACACAATGCCACCCGTCCATTAGGCCTGGTGTGATTGATGTCCATGCAGCTTGCTGCTTTGTTGCGCTCCATTATTTGTCAAATGCAGAGGCAGACACTGATGGATCTGTTGTTAATTGAGCAAAAACATAGCATGCTGACATTTCTTTTGATTACTGCTGACCAAAAAAGGTTTGGTCTCTGCTTTTTGAAGTGTGTACGTGATCACAGGTGGCCTGCACCTGCCATGTCCTACAGAGCTGATCTTAATCACATCATTTGCCTCTGGAGGTGCCACACTATAGCCTGGTGCCTTTCCTCCAGTGCTGGTGCTGGATTCGACAGCAGGGCACTGCTGTGCCCAAGGGTGCAAGTGGCTTTGCTAGTAAATCACATCTTATTGCTATGGTTATTTGCATGCAGAGGCTTGGCCCATTTCCAGAATCTTCTAATTGAAAGCATGAACAGATAAAGAAGGATTTTAATTAACTGGGAGGTAGCCCAGAAAAAATCATTTCTCTTGGCAACCAGCTCCTCCCTAGCTTCTGCCACTCACAAGTGGGTCTAATCTACCTAAGGGCTGTGCCCTGCCCTCTGTCATATGGTCTCATAATATTTTATTATATATATTTAGCACAAAGACATTTACAATCCCTAATATAGCTTAAATGTAGCACTGCCTACTTTATTCAAGTCATTAAAAAGATAAGACTACAAAGTACATGAGGATCTTCTATCTCCTTGTGTGTGTGTGATGTGTGGGGCCTTGGAAGACAGGCCCCTGTCATTGACAACCAGATTGGGGCTCTTAATTTAGAGGACCTTGCATTTCCTCTCCGTCACAATAATTCCTTATATCCAACACTTCCTGTTTCTCAGGCCTGGTAGGAAGGAACAGGGCGCTTGTCACACGGTAGTCACTGCTTCCTCTCCTACTCCCCCTTTTTTCCCTCTCACAAACATCAGACATCCATGTGTCCTTCACAAGGAAAGATGACTGCACCTTGAGCATCACCGCAGGAAGCAGCAAGTTATTTTTGGACATAAGTCGGAAAGGTAGTGCATAGACATAAACACAAACTAGGATGTCCAGCTGTGTTGACTTTGCATCCCAAAATGGAGGGTCCAATGTGTAAAGTGTCCTATCTTTCTCAGCTGATTGTTTGTCAGTGGAAACCTGAGGGCCTCCTGTTTAGTATTTATCCTTCAAGAATCTGCCGGCGCATATAGGATGGAATAGCGTCGTCAAACATTGACCAGGTCATTGACCAGGTCACGGAAGGTGAATATGGCGTCTTAGTGTGAGTCGTGAACTAACTCGCCCGCAAAATCTTAATTAAGCAATTCAACAAACAGTTCTGATCTTTGCGAAAAGTTGTGCGTAAAGTCTGATGTCTGGATGTCCCAAACCAGGAGCAGGAGAAAGAAACAACAAGGCTCAAAATTGGAAATGAGTGCCAAGGACATGAGCAAGTCTACTACAGCTACGGCTGATGAGGACACGCCAGGTTGAGCAAAGTGTCTGATCGCTACTTTTAACAAAAATCAGCTAGACTTGAACGCAAAATTGGAAGAAATCAACACGAGCGTTCATTCCATATCTAAAGAATTCAAAGAAATGAACGATCGGGTTACGGCCGCGGAGAAGCGCATAAGTGACCTGGAAGACAGTCGCAACGAGGAGAATTGCACAGTGCAAACGCTGCTTAAACAAGTGTCAACACTTGCTGTTAGAGTGGATATGCTGGAGGCGCGCAGCAGAATGAACAACATCAGAATAATTGGCCTTAAAGAAGGCATGGAGGTGGACAATCTGATGGGATTACTGGATCGGTTGTTCCGATACATTCTGGACCTAGAGGAGAGCGATACAACTCCCGAGGTGGAAAGGGCTCACAGAGCTCTACGTCCGCGACCGAACCCAGAGGACCCCCCGCGCATGGTTGTAGTGCGCCTGCTGAGATGGAGAGACAAACTAAAACTGCTGATGGCTGCTAAGAAGAAGGGATCACTCTCCTGGGACGGTCAGCCCTTCTATATTCGCCAGGATCTGACATCGGAGGTTCGGAGACAACGGGCTGAGTACAACGAGATTATTGAGGAGCTGAAGAAGCAAGGTGTAAGAGTCGGCGTACTTTACCCTGCTCGCCTGGTCGCCACCATCGATAGGAAGAAATGCATTTTTGAAACTCCAGAAGAAGCTAGACGGGGACTCTCACGACTGCTGCAGAAGACGCGCGCGTCTGTGCCAGACTCAGCCACCTGACGCGCATAGGTGGTGGCATCCTACCAGCTATGAGCCAAGTGACTGGAAATCGATGCATCTACATTTGTTGACGTTAGAAGTTTTGTTTTCAAATAATATACTTACATTAAACTATATCAAGACAGCATTTACTTTGTCGGTTGTGAGGAGAAGGCCTATTGTTAAGCTTATTTTATTTAAATAATTGTAGAAACCCTACAAAGACAAAAGCCATATGCGGGCAAGTTATTTTTTTGTTTGGGTTCACACAGCGCCTACATCAATTGCCACGGACGGAGGATGGAAATATTCATCTTCTTTGTAATTACATGGAGTCTGCGCAGTTGCAGACGATTTAAATGTTACAGTATTTGTCTCCCTTTTGTTCCTCCCCTAATGTCACAGCACAATTATGTTTTATTCCCACAAATCATGACAAACGGAACTAAAGTAATATTGTGGAATGTAAATGGGGTCCAAAATGTTGCAAAACGCTCTAAAATTCTGGCTCACCTAAAGTCAATCGAGTGTGATATAGCGATGAAAAAACAAGAAACACACTTAACTAAAGAAGAATCGATGAAACTTAAACAACGCTGGGTGGGCCAATTGTTTTGTTCTCCGGGTACTAGCGGCTCTAAAGGTGTTTGCATACTGATCTCAAAAAAAGTACAATTTAAGGTGTTTGATGTACATGGAGACAAAGAGGGGAGATGGCTGATAGTGTCAGGGGAAATGTCTAACCAAAAAACAGCGTTGGTGAATCTGTATGCTCCCAACACTGCACAAGCAAACTTCTTAACTCTAATCAACTTGCAATTAACAAAATATACAAATTCTTCACTCATCATTGGTGGAGATTTCAATGCAGTGTGCAATGCCTCTATGGATCGATCAAGTCATCCACTACCTGCAGATAAAGCATCCTCAAGAGCATTTACTGAATTGTTAGACACTCATGGGTTAGTGGATGCCTGGCGCTTAAAAAACCCTAATGAGAGGCAGTATTCATTCTATTCAAAAGTGCATAATTCATATTCCAGAATAGATTATATGCTGGTCCAAAATTCATTGGTGGAAAACATTACTAATGTGGAAATACATAATATTCTAATTTCTGATCACGCTCCTATCACATTAACATACTGTCCAACCACACCTGTTACAAAATCCAAGCATTGGAGATTCAACAATGCCTTGCTAAAAGATAAGGAATTTCTCAAATTAATATCTCAGAACATACCATTTTACTTTAAATGCAATTTGACTCCAGAAATTCCAACTCAAACTATTTGGGAGGCTTTTAAAGTAACTTGTCGAGGTTGGATTATTTCCTATGCCTCTCACAAAAATAAGGAGCGAAACAAAATGAAAGAAGGAACTTTGAAAAAACTGAAAGAACTCGAAACAAAACACATGACTGACCCGTCCAACGATGAGGTGAAACAAGAACTACTCAAAGTAAGAATGGAGGCACAAAAAAGGATACATGAGGAATTTTCATTTATGCAATACAAACTAAAAAAGGATTATTATGAAAGTGGTGAAAAGGCAGGAAAAATGTTGGCTTACCAACTAAAAAAGAATGAACAAAAAAACACAATAAATGCTATAAAGGATACAGAAGGAAACCTTGTGACAGATCATAAAGCAATTAACAATACTTTTAAGGAGTATTATTCAAATCTTTATCAATCAGAATGTAACGTAGAAAGGGAGCTCTTGGATACGTTTTTCTGTAAACTCCTATTGCCCTCCTTGGAACAAGATGAAAGCCAAAATATTGAAGCTCCTATCTCAATTACTGAAGTTATTAAAACTATTAACTGTTTGTCTAACTCCAAGACTCCAGGAGAAGATGGCTACACAGCAGAATTTTACAAATGCTTCTCCAAGGAATTGGCTCCCTTTCTAACAGTGCTATACAATAATATAATACAAAAACAATGTATGCCACCAACAATGAGAACTGCCATTATATCATTAATTCCTAAACCAGGCAAAGACCAGTTGCAGGTAAACAATCATAGGCCCATAAGTTTGCTCAACAGTGACTACAAACTATTTGCCAATCTTGGCAAATCGTTTGGAGAAAATAATTCCCCGTTTAGTGAACCTAGACCAAGTTGGTTTCATACCAGGACGTCTGATGTCCAATAACATGAGGCGACTTTTTCAATTAATGGATAGGGCAGGTTCTTTTCAGCACCCAGTGATCGCTGTGTCACTGGATGCTGAAAAAGCTTTCGACCGGATAGAATGGTCATATTTATTTCATGCTCTGTCTCAATATGGTTTTGGCCCAAATTGTCTGCAATGGATAAAAGCTATATACCAACACCCAATGTCATCTGTAAAATCAAACAATGTCATCTCTACACCCTTTCAGCTCTTTCGCTCCACGAGACAAGGATGTCCGTTATCCCCAATTTTATTCACTCTTGCACTAGAACCGTTAGCATGTATGATCCGAATGGATAAAGAAATAGAAGGAATAAAAGTGGGAAACCATGAATTCAAATTAAGCATGTACGCAGATGATATCCTATTGACATTGACAAAACCATCACAATCCATCCCTAAAATTCTTCAGAATATAAACACAGGGTACAAGGTTAACTGGAGCAAGAGTGAAGCAATACCTCTAAATTACTTTACATATAAAAAAGACTTGGGTACAGCTCCTTTTGTCTGGAAAAATGAGGGCATGAAATACTTGGGAATTACAATTGGGTTGCCGATAGACAAAATTATGGAAAAAAAACTTCCACTAACAAATACTATAAAAGAAGACCTTAAGAGATGGTCATCACTGCCATTGTCTCTGTGGGGCAGAGTTGAAATAATTAAGATGAATATTCTCCCAAGAATTCTCTCTCTCATCTCCTCAGTGCCTCTTAATATACCAATGTGTTGGTTTGATGATGTGAAGAAAATGTTTAGCTCTTTCCTATGGAGAGACAAAAAACCCAGGATCAATATAAAAAAAACTGTCTCTACAGAGAGACCAAGGTGGTCTAAGTATTCCAGACATCTTTCTGTATTTTATTGCATTTAATGTCAGATATGGTTTAGCCTGGGGTTATAGGAAGATACGAGAGAAAGGGAGATGGGATTGCCTGGAAGAACAAGTATTTAAAAAAATAATGCATCCATTTCACTATCATCACTATGGTATCACCCATATCTACCTGTTAAACTGAAGAACCCTCTTATGCGGCTGACCTGTACAACCATTAAGAAAATGCGCCAAAAATTGGGTAATACAAAATTGGTACTTGCATCCTGTCCAATATGGAACAATATGGCAATTACAGCTGCAGGGAATCCTTTAACAAATAAAGCATGGAAACAAAATAACATTCTGCAAATTTCTGATATTATCAATCAAGGTTCACTGCGGTCTTTTGAGGAGCTGAGAACTAAATATGGCTTATGTACAAATGCCTTTTTGCAATACGCCCAAATAGCTTCAGTTTTCTCCAGACTACCGAAGGAATACTTTAAATATGATAATGAAATGGATAACAAATACAGAAAGTTGGTGATTAATAAAGGGACAGTTTCGGGTCTGTATAAACTACTTATTAACTCAGACCAGACTGTAAATAAACAAACAGAATCAAAATGGGGACAAGATCTAGGACAAACAATTACCATTTCAGAATGGAAACCAATATGGAGGAATATAACCAGAATATCAAAATAAATAAAAATTAGGATGATACAATTCAAATTATTACATAGAGCTTATATAACTCCAGCCAAACTCAACTTAATAAACCCACAGACCTCAGACTTATGCTGGGGAGGCTGTGGTCAAAGGGGAACATTAATACATATGCTTTGGTACTGCCCTGATATTACACATTTCTGGACACAGATAGTAAATGCAGTCTCAAAACTATTAAGTATTAACCTGTGCCCTTCCCCAGCTACTTGCTTACTCGGATTCAGAGATACTCAACTGGAAAACAAACAGAACTATAAGATAGCTAATATAGCTTTCATTGCGGCTAAAAGAATGATAATAATAAATTGGAAACATCGTAAATTAAACTGTTTTGCAGTAGAAAAGTGGATACACGAATTTACAGATTTACTAGCCATGGAAGAAATTATTAACAACGATGACGGTATGGATCTGGATCTTGAGCAACTCATAGCTGGGGTCGGGTCAAAGGATGTGGTGTCAGGAAGGTAAAAGCTCAGTCTGCTTTTTGTTTTCTTCATCAAACGTGCCAACTAAATGATAAATATGAATATGAAGTATGCTTAACGCCTATTGATGGCATATTGTGTCTGGGCTCCAGGCCTGTTTGTTGTTTGTATATATCTCGATAATTACAGAGACATTTATTGTCTCTTTGTCATGGAAAGACTATGATGTTAACCCCCCCTTCCCTCTCCCTCCCCACGTTGTTTGATGTATTCTTATTTTTATTTTATTTTATATGTATGTGTATGTATCTATGTATGTATGTATCTATGTATGTATGTATATATATATATATATATATATATATAGGTATATATGTGTGTATATAATAAAAGAGAAAACAAAATAAAAAATACATTGTATTATGTGGAAAAAGACACAGAGCCAGATGTGATGGTAGTGTATACCATTGGGTCAGTCCTTGCTGATGCAGGAAACGTCTAAAGACAGTGATGATCTAGAACAATTATGGTTCTTTATGGACATTTATCCAGCTTCCAATTCATTTCCTGTGCTGATGCTGTTCGATTCTCCAATCTATTGATGTTGAATTGACAACCTTGTGAAGTCCTCAGAGAGTAGTAGTTGTATTAGTAGTAGTATTAATCTTTCACCGCCCTCAGAGTCTTAAAGCGGTTTACAATTGTTATTTTTGGGCATTTGTCTCTCACTCCAGGTAGGGGCAGGGTCGCCAGTACAGGAGGCGCATGCCAGATCTATTGTGCATGTTTTTAATGGTAGGGGAAACCGGAGTGCCCAGAGGACACCTACGCAGACACAGGGAGAACATGCAAACTCAACT